TTGTATATCAAGCAAATGTTTAAAAAATATCAATCTATGAAAGACGTCAGTATAATTTTATCATCTAAATTATTTCTAATATAGCAAATTAATTCAAAATGTTCTAAAGTAGTAAAACTTTCAATTCTGTTTTTTTTTGTTATTTATATTTATTTAAAACAGCATTTTGATTTTACTTATTTTGTTAAAAATAGGAATAGAAATCTTACGTAATTTTTTCTTTTTTTTGTAGGTCATTTTACAGACAATATTATCTAGATTAATGAGATTTTTTTTAAATATCATCCACGTAGATGGCCGAAATTACTGCAGCAGTGAAGGACCTTTTTTGTCGCGTCGTTGGAGATCGACTATAACTTAAAAAATATTTAATTTTTTTCTTCAAAAATTTTACTATGTATTCTTAAAACATGTGTAAATATATTCCTGAAATTTGAAATGATTGATAAAGTATTTTTTTAATATAAATTCCCAAAAATCACCTTTTTTTAGGCGGTTACACTAGTTGTGCCCATTAAAAATGTAAAGTTTAGCCGTTTTCGAGTTTTAGCGGATTATTTCATCTAGAGCTCCACTTATATATAAGATATATATATATATATATATATATATATATATATATATATATAAAATTGTTTCTTGGGCATCCATCCAGTAATTAAAAAACAGTTTTAATGAAAAATGTTTTTATTTAGAGAACATACGTTTCGGGTCTTGATTTGACCCATCTTCAGTGCATACAAATAAACTTTGAAAAATAACACAAAAACACATACAATTGCACGAAAAAAATAAATATGAAATAAAAAATTGATAAAACGTCGAGTTATGAAATTTAAAAAAATTGTAAAATTAAAATAAATGATATATTTTATTATAAAAAAGCTTATTCCAAACGAACATGTTGTCAGTTTGGAAATTGTATTACGAGTAACTTAAAACTGTTTTTTAATTACTGGATGGATGCCCAAGAAACAATTTTATTATATTATTTCACCATCTGAAGAAAAACCTCTCGCTTTATATATTTATATATATTGCTAGAAGGATTTGTTCCGGTTTTTCAGCAACAAAACAGGGTAAAAATATAAAAGTAAATAAATAAAAGAGATTATTTTTATTGTAACAGTATAGAATTGAAAATTTAAGAGTAATAATCATAAATGTCATAAATAATATTTTGTATTGTTTAGTTACATCACTAGAAGTGAACTTTGAAAATGATTTATATCCAATTTATTCTTTACAAACTTGTTTGAAAATTTGGAATCTTTTAAAAATGATTGAAAGTTCCGGAAGGAGTTTTTAGATTAAAGCCTGATAGATACGTTATATTAAGGATCTTTTTTACGAAAATCAATTATTGGACGATTAAATTTTGTATTCAAATTTCGCGCCGCTCCCACTACTAGGAGAGTGTCTTACGATAGGATTGCACATGCATGCATGTTGCATGTTGCATGTTGCATGCCTTGTACAATCTGTTCTGTCACTTCTGTCACTTTTGTCTAATGTCTAAGCCGCCGTCTATTCTACAAGTCTTCGTAAATGTAAAATTATTATTTCTGTGTTCAATAGATTCTGTATATAATTTCTTCGCGTGTTTCTTTTTATACCACAAAGTTTGGTCCTTCATCACGCATAATATTAATAAAATCAGTGCTAATATATATAAAAAGACGCCGATTTTTTCGCCGTGAAGAAAGTTGATAAAAAGTTTCATAAATGGTTGAAACTTAAAACTATTCACGCTAAAAACAAGAATTGAATACGCTCAAGCTCAACAATAGAGCAGCAATATTTATTATTGGTGAATTGAGTGGATGCACGCAGATTTCATTTGAGAAGAAGTTAGGCGCACGAGGCTCCAGAGTTTGTCATCGCTGTTATTCGTGTTACTGGGGCTCATCTGAGAATTGGAGCACACCTGGCACAGAAGGCTATGTCACACCTTATACAATAACACAAGACACGTGAAAGCGGTATTTACGACAGTTGTAACTTGTAAGGTAAGGTACAAATAGAATAAGTTAATTAATGTACATGTTATTTAGCATATGTCACGTTTAGATGCTCTTACGAATATTGGTACCCCATCACTGTCTAGGTCGGTAGATTCAAATCCAGCATTAGATGTTAAGTTACCAGAGATCACGTTACCCAAGTTCAACGGTGATTATTTTGAGTGGACCCAATTTATTAGATCTTTATAACTCCTAAATTCACAATAACACAAAGTTGCTGGAAGTCCAAAAGTTGCACTCTCTAAAGGGAGCTCTACTATCGTTTGCTGCAAAACTAATATCATCTTTAAGCTTAACGAATGAGTATTACACTATGGCCTATGAGCTACTGTGTAAGACTTATGACAATAATTTTTAATAGTGAATTCGATTTGCAGCAGATTGACAACATACCCCAGATACACACAGAACACATGAAACTCAGAGCACTTTTCTGTGCAGTGCGAGGCTACAAATACGTGCTCTTTCAGCTCTATATGAACCAACTAAACATTAGGATCTTATTCTGTTGTATATGCTGAACAAGAAAGCTGACAGCCATACTCGCATGGCATGGAATTTGTCCAGGACAAGTAAGTAGACCCACAATTAGAAAGTAGACCCATTCAGGGAAATTCTAAAATGGTTCATGTTAGTACTGTGAAAAAAGTACTATCTCCGTGTTGTTATTGTAGTAAGGGAAGTCATCCAATGTACAAAAGTTCCATGTTTAAGGACTTGGAGATTTCAGGGTGCAAGGAACTGGCGTTAAAGCATTCACTGTGCACTCGTTGTTTACTTCCTGCACATGATGCTAAGAGATGTAGTTTTAAAGGTACTTGCTATAGATGTAAAGAGCCCCACAACATTATAATTAATGATGAAAATAGTTCTTCGTCACCATCAACTAGCCAATCAACTCAATTCTGGCAACAATGTTCTTTTAGCTAGTTACAATAACATACAAACTTTTCTTTCCACAGTCTCTCTATATGTTTTCGATGCAAATGGCAAAACCCATTGTGTGAGGGCTCTACAGGATAGTGGTTCTCAAATAAATTTAGTTACCAGTTCTATAATAAGGAAACTGAAATGCCCTACAATAGTTTTGCTGAGTAGGATGAACATGTTGCAGGGACAATCAGGTATCAGTCAGCAAGCAGGGAAAATTAAAATCAGATCCAGACTTTCTGAGTATCAATGGACCATTTACTGTGTGGTGGTCGATCATGTTACACAAAACCTACCCAGCAGCTTTATAGACTACCATGATTGGTAGATACCGAATAATGTAGATTTAGCTGATCCAGAGTTCAATGTTTCCTCACCCGTCGAGTTGTTAATAAGTGCTGAGTTGTATTTTGATATATTGCAATAGGGTTGCATTCGGCTAGATCATTGTTTGCCGGTATTAAGAAAAAGTCAGTTTGGATGGTTATTATCTGGCATTTACAAAAATTCTGATGTTATCGCTTATGTTGGGTTTATCTCCAATGAAGACCTCCACAATAATCTGTCCAAGTTCTGGCAACTTGAAGAAGTTTCTTCAAACAATGTTGCTCTGAATAGGTCAGATAGGTTGTGTGAGGAGCATTCTGTCTCTAATGTAGTCAGAAAGAATGACGGTGTGTTTGAGGTTGCTTTACCATTCATATCATTTAAACGGGGCAGCTTAGGAGAGTCGTTTAACAGAGCAAAACGCGGATTCGAAAATTTAGAAAGACGTTTCAGTCGGGATCCCAACTTAGCAAAGGCATACTCTGATTTCATCCAGGAGTATATCAGGTTAGGGCATGCAGAGCGTATTGATTTGTATAAGGTCCCAGTAGACTCATGCAGTAATAAAGAAAAGAAATTATAAAAAGATCAGTGTGGTGCATCGTGCAAGACAAGTTCTGGAGTGTCATTAAATGATTCACTACACATAGGTGCAAAACTGCAACAAGACCTATTTTCAATTTTGATTAGATTTCGCTGTCATCTTCATGTCTTTGTTGCAGATATAGTTAAAATGTACAGACAAATAAAAGTTCGAGAAGCAGACCAGTACTACCAACTTATACTTTGGAGAAATTCACCTGAGTCTGAATTAGAAACTTAAGCTCACCACCGTCACTTATGGCAAAGCATGTGCACCTTTTTTAGCTATGCGATGTTTCAAAATGTCAGGCTGAAACAAAAATTTATCCAATAACCTATAGTCCGAGATATTAGATAGGGATTGTTATGTGGACTTAATTAACCTACAGACGGAAATAATTCAATTACTTGGGGAGGGGGGTGGGAGGGGGGTAGGCTTTACATTACACAAATGGGCCAATGACTGTAAAATTATTATTTCTGTGTGTTCAATGAATTTTTTATATAATCTCTTCATGTGTTTCTTTTTATACCAGTAATTATACGGTTACTTATAATATTATATTACTATTTTAATGTAATTATACTATTGATAATGAGCATTTTGTTTAATTTACAGAACAACTTATACGTCCAGGACATTATACAATAGATAATTCATAAGCAGATCGGCCAAATCTGAGATAAGTATACCTATACTAGTTTTTGTAATCTCGATATAAATGAATTTGATAGTTATATATCTATTATTAGTATTATACTATTTTGCAGATTTTACTAGAAGTCGAGTACATTGAATTGTTACTCATTTGTATTTAGAAGACTATTGGAATCCTTAGTGCGTATCAGAGTTTTGAAGTTAAGGTAATTATACTATTATTTTGTTGTATGGTTTCATTTGGTTGTAGTTTGTAAATATGTATTATTTAAAGAAATTGTGATTGATTTGATTATTGTTTTTCATTATATTTAGTACATTTATTCACAGAACAACCTGTGTTTCTTCAGCACATCAGGCTACTGGCAATTTATATGCATTTGGATTGAGTCACAGGTATTTGTGAATAGAAATTAATTTGATTTATTATATTGATTTATAATAATAATTATTTCTTTCAGATGTTTGTCCAATAGGCGTCATGTTAATAGTTTAAACCTCTTTGGAGTCTCGCAAACTTTACATTTTAGTACTAATATTTGTTCAAATTTCAATTGCTGTAGTGTTTATTAGAAAATAGTATTATTACAATGTAAAAGTTTTGTGTGTGAAGTGATTTTTGTGATAACATTTCAAGGAGTTTTTATTATCGGAGTATGGATGCTGACTTCTAGCTAATCAAGAATGGTTGTAAGGCTCTGTGGTAAGTGATATTTATTTAAATGGCATGCTCATATATAGTTCGACCACACCAAATTTGCGGAAATATGATTGATTTCAAGCAATGAAACCAATAACACATATTTATTTCAATTTAATCATGTTTACGCTATTGTTTATAATGTTATTTATAGCTGATAACATTGGCATATTTCGATTACATGTAAATGATTCCTAATTTCTCTAAAAGTTTTCACACTTTTATTAAGTTAGTTTCATACAAATTAGTTTTCTTTTATGAATTTGTTAAGGAATTCGCGATTCAGCCCTTTATTTTGATACTTTCTTGCAAATTGGTTTCTTTTTATGAATTAGTTAAATGTTTTAAACATCTGTACGCCTTTTCTATTCTTTCAGTATTTGTTTATTTCACAATAATATTACTGAGTAGTTAGTAATTAAACAATAGACCCAATATTAGTATTTGTTTCGATTAAATTGTTTTCAAATTTTATATTAGAACGCATTTGCATGCATGTTTTTCATAACATACGTTTAAAATTAGATTAAATGACTTTGATTACTACTTTGATCATTTAATTAACTTCCGGTAGGGTAGTTATAGTAATGGGCCGAAAATCGAAAATGAAAATTTTTGCATTTTTCGACGTTTTGAAGGTTTCTGAACATTTTAAGGCATACCTCAGAAAACTAATGGATGTGTGTGTGTGTGTTTTGTATGTCCGCATTTTTTCGTCCACGTTTTCGGGCGCACGGATCAACCGATTTGAATGGTTTAAAAAACATTCGATTTCTATTGATAGGGAGATGTGCTGATTAGTTTTTGGCAAAGGCAGGTCAAGCCGTTACGTAGATATGGAGTAAAGAGTGCAGAAAATAGAAATCGAGTTTTTGAGAGAACGGATCATCCAATTTGTATGATCCAAAAAACATTCAGTTCGTAATGACGGGGAAAAGTGGTTATTAGTTTTTGGCAAAGGTAGGCCCAGCGGTTTCGGAGATAGAGCTAAATGTTAAAAAAATGGCAGTTTTTGAGAGAACTAAGTGTCCGATTTGAATGATTCAAAGAACTTTCTGCTTGTTTCAACAAAATAATTGCTTTTGCAAAAAAAATTTTGTTTCTAATTTTTTTTTCAAAAAATATTTTTGTAATTTTGGATTAAAAATTTAAAAAATGACCCAGGCTAAGCACAGTCTAAGCGCCACTCTGGTGCAAATATTTACCCAAGTGCGTTTAGACTGTTTATGTACTGGAGATTTCGCACAGAATTATTTGCATTAGACTGTGACTATTTTTGTGAGCACTTTTTCAATTTTGTGTAAATTAGGCAACTATTTTTTTTTAAATTGAATTCGAAATGAAATGACGAACGATTGTTAATGTTCTGGAGATAAATTGATTTATGATTTACATTTGACTTGCTCGGATATAACAAACAGGATAGCAAAAATAATGAAAGTTACAGTATTTGTAATAATATATTTGAAAACGTTTGAAATTTCTCGAATATTTCATTACGGTACGGGAAGTTCCAGCAATTTGCTTTAAGGCACGATGCCATGCACCTCTAGTTACTTTTGTCTGTTAAAGATCTATTAGCAACTAATTAAAAGCAACAATTTGTTTTACAAAACTTCACTTTAAATGCAGAATTATTGGAATGTTACATAATTTAACATATCTGTAGATAATAATCTGTCCGAATTTATAGAGAGTAAATCAAACAAAAGAACCGGTTTCATACATTTATATTCAATTCAACATTTACAGTCCGTTTACAATACATCGCACTTTATGCAATATTTATTAAAATGTTTCATGTTTCGACGATAATGATTCATGACGAACAAATTTAATTTTGCCTTAAAAATTATCTTATCAATTTTTATATGAAAGAAGTTGAATTTTTAGTATTGTTATAAAAATTAATTTATTGAACAATTTTACGAAACATCTGATCATGCTAAAATAAATATCATTAGCAGTGATGTGGTTCGATTGATAAATTTGAAAATAAAACCAGTTTTCATGAAATTTACTTTATAAAATGGCTACTATTTTCAATTATTTGACAGTTGATTTGCTTTTGCTATTAAAAAACGTGCAGGTAATTTAATTTTAAAAATATTTTATCAAATTAATTTTTACATTCCGACCTAAACAATATGACTTAATAATGAAAATTTCATAATTTAACAATTTCTTTATATCATACTTGACAATTTATTCGTCAATTATTTTATCAGCGAATAAAATAGTTAATTACAAATTATAGCCATAAAAATAATCAATTCCTCGAATGTATATTATTATCTACCTGAAATAATTTAAATAATTTTTGTTTTCATTAAGATTTTGCAATATTCATAATTTTAATGTTATTTAATGGATTTCAATGATTCTGCATTTTTAATCAGTTCCAACATAGTTTTTAATTACTTGCAATTTATTACCGTAGTCCGAGAAAAACCTCGGGCAATTAAAATGATTTAACAATAAATATTTTGTGATTTAACATATATTTTTATAACGAAGATGAAACCATTTGTCGTCTAGCTTATTAGGAAACAATAGCATGAACCCTGTATATATTTTGTTTTGAAATAAAAATAAAATGTTAACTTCAATAAGCTATTTAGTAAATGAAATTTTTTCTTACCGAAGTAGGTATTTCGTATTCCGCCTCTAAAAGTTGATTGCAAACTAAACTTCCCTGGCAAATGGTTCAGAATCTGAACGAAAGTTTTTTTTATGGTACTGATCTATTAATAATGATTTTAAAATTTGTTTATTCTGAATTTCTAATGTCTTTTTTATCTAAACAAATTTTAGAGCTTTTATTTAATAGATCAGTATCATTGAAAACTTCTATTGTAGCAACATACTGAAATTTGAAACATGTTAATTCATCGGAAGAATTGCGTTTTAATTTGTTTAATAATAATGTCGATTACTCGATAAAGTATATTTACTTTGAACAAACTTTCAATATCCTGAATATGAATTTGCAAATCTTGTCAAAGTAGCGTATTACCTTCCTCTGACGAGTTTTAAAAAATTCATGATTGATAAATCATTTTCCTACTAACTACACTATTTGCGTCTAATTTGAAATTTCCAAATTTATGCCAATACTTTTCTAATTCTTAACAATTTTTTTTTAAATGTTTATAGCATTTGAAAGATTGGTGGCTTTAGATTATAGAACTATAGATGTGGCGTCGATATAGTAGTAGAATATTACTGTTTGTTAGGTTTGATTGATTTTTCGAAGGACCAATGATTTGTTGTAAAACACTTCATTTGTAATATTAATTACGTGTTTATTAACTTCCCGAAGGAGAAGTTTATGTTTTCATCAAAAGATCCGATTTGCTAATTTTATGTTTTCTCGACGTTTCAAGCCATTCTGAATCGAATGAGACCAACATTTGGAAAAAGTATATGTGTGTGTGTGTGCGCGCGTGTGTGTGAACAATTTTTTTGCCGTAAATCAACGTTTTCTCAAAAACGGCTGGACCGATTTCCAAAATTTAAAAGCCATTCGATGTATCTCGATGACGACTTAGGGTTTATGAGTTTTGTACGATGATCGGCCAGGCCGCTTCTTTGTAAATCGCAGAAAAGTGAAAACTTTTTCGTCCACGTTTAATCCGCAATTCTGAATCGATTTTGAAAATTCAAAAACCGTTCGTAGGTATTGGTTGGGAATCGTGCTGATTAGTTTTTGGTATAGATCGGCCGGGCCGTTTTCTTGTAATAAAGTTTGAAAAAAAAAAAATTCGACGATTTTTATAATTTTTGCGGTACATACCATCGTCTTCTAGATCATACTAAAATATTACGGCCCTACGACACTATCGGTTTAACTTTAAAAATTCGTCAAAGTTTGCAAAAATTGGTATCGTTTTTTGGCTTAAAAACGCCTGAACCGATTTTAGAAATTTAAGTCATTCGATGTATCTCAATGAGCACTATAGTTGGTCAGTTTTGTGAGACGATCTGCCAAACCGTTTCTTTGTAATTTGAAAAAAAGTGTTAAACTTTTCGTCCACATTTAAGCTCATTCTACCGAATCGATTAAAAAAAAAAACTGTTCGAAAGATATTAGTTGGGAATGATACTGATTAGTTTTTGGTGAAAATCTACCGAGCCGTTTCCTTGTAATTAACCGTTGAAAAAAATATTACGCCGATTTTTATGGAACTTTTTTGGGCGATATATACTATGGTCTTATGGAACTTACTGAATTATTATGGCCTTACTAGTAGTTGAATTTTAAAAATTCATCAAAGTTTGAGAAAATGAGTAGTTTTTTTGACGTTCGTTAAAATTAAAATTAGACGATTTACTTGGTATAACGCTAGAGTACTTGATCTCAATGTACATCTAAACCATTAAGTCCTACCGAAACTGGTTCAATTATAAAAGTTATTAATTTTTGAAAATTTGCTTTTAGAAAATACTCGAGTTAACGTGTTTGTTCGTTTTCAATTATGTGTAATAAATCTACTCGGAATACGTTTAATCGCTCATAAATTAATTTATATAGTCGATTACACATACACATATCGGAAAGTTCATGTAACTTGCCTCAAGGCAAAATACCAATACCAACTAGTTTTTATTACAACTACAAATTATATTTGTATTTACAATGTTTTCAAAGTTTAATTTTTGTATTGATTGATTTTATTTTATAATAATTTTTTATTTAGATATTTGATTTGTTTCTATATCAATATATCGGATGCTGTGATTTTGGTGTGAACAATTACAATGGAAAACCAATAATAAAATAATTGTAGTTTGCAAACTTCTTTTTATGCGAAATAGGTTCATTTTGGATTTCAACAAAACCGAGTTTTAAAGCAAGAATGGCATCAGAGAATGTCCTGCACATTCCGTCTTTTTATATTATGTCCAAAATAATTAAAAATTCATAAACGATTCAAAGTGATTAGTTAAAGAATATATCGGTATCATAAAGAATCAGTCAGTCTGTTTTTATCCTTCTGCATGAACGGTTGTGTTATTATTTACATAAACTTTTATCATAAATTCTACAGAAAAAGAGTTTCTTTATATGTCGATTGAAATATAAAAATAATTATAATATGATTTTACGTTGCAGTTTGCCGACAGACAGAAGCTCAAACAACATGATAATGGCGCAGGTTCTTTCGGAAGCCGATCGGCCATTATGCAATACTGCGTACAGAGAAGGACAACTATGTCATGTGCGAGTGCGCTCGAGTACTATTTCGCACTCTATTCCACGCATAGGATTAATGCGCAGGACAAGGACAAAGATATGTCGCAGGCGCAGGCCACGCCCATCACCGCCCATCACCTATCACCTAGTTGCTCTCCCCACCACTCGAATCGGCCTGCCATTGCGAGAGGATATCATTTCGTTTTCGAATGCGGCGGTGTACGGTGTACGGTGTACGGCTAGAAGGGTCTCGGCGAAATGGACGTAGCCGACCGGCTTGTTGCGTAAGTTCAACATGGTTGCGAATTGAATTCAGTTTAATAGTGCGATAATTTTATACCTATTAATTTCAAGTGTTTGTCATTGTGCCCTTATCAAATCTAATTTACATGAGAAATTGGAACTGATGCAGCACCGTTTACAGGAGAAAAGGTCAGTTTCAAGTTGATTTTGTGGGTACCGATACCGAATTTCCGTATATATCACTAGAATTTTCTGAATCATTTGAAATCATCCATCCATTCAAACTTTCAAATATTAGTTTAAAGTAGACTGCGTTGATTAAAAGATTTTGCAAGACAAATGGGGCGGCAATGGGTCAATGGTTAGGATTTTTTCAATATGCCAAAAATTACGATTTCTTATTAACACAGCTCTTAGATTCTTAAAATTATTTTGCTACTGGTACATATTTGAATCACCAGTTTAGTTTTTTATAAATTTGTACATCGTTTTGACATATAATTAATCCTCCGTCGGTCGGAGTGATCTGGCCAGACTTTTTTCGGCTTCAATTAAAAAAAAGAACACTTCTAGTAATCCTATCGACTTGAAATTTCTTGACTTTTCCTAAAATTTCATTAGCTGTCGATCAATAAAAAAATCAGGAAGAAAAAAATGTACTTTGAATTTTTTTTCGAAGCGATCGCGGTGGGCAAGATAGAATATCGGAGCGAGTATGTGCCGCGTCGGAGTTTTACGGTTAAACTGTATAAATTTTGATACTTTATCCATAACAATGTGAACAAAGTTTGTACTTATTATTGAAATCTGTATAAAATATCTGATATTTGATGTACATAACAGATGTAATAATCAGTTTTGGAATACAAATGATTTATTGATTTTTTTTATCGATTTTTATTGGATCTCTCTCTTTTATTGGATAATTTATTCAATACAAGTTCTAAAACAGTGTTGTAATATATAATAATTAATTCAAAATAAATCATTTTTCCCGAAATATTTGTCGACGATGTCGGTAATGATTGAAATGATTAAGAAAACAGTCGTCTTGAATTGATAAGGAGACGTCCTGATTAGTTTTTGGCAAAGACAGGTCCAGCCGTTTTGATGATACGGGGCAAAAAGGGCCAAATATGGCACTTCATTTTTTGAGAGAACTGAGCGGCGTATGATTTCAATGATTTAAAAAATGTAAAGAAGTATTTATATTTATAATGTTTAAAAATGTGAAGCAAGTGTTGGTCAACGCAAACATCAAATGAATTAGATAAAATCGTTATTTGAATAAAGAAGCATGATAAAATTTTATAAATACAGGTATGTTCAATGATTATTGGAAACGCGTACCTATACGATTAAAAGAAATTTATTTTTGTAAATAGAGTTTTATATAATAGATTAAAATAACGGTATTCATTGTTTATGAAGTTATATAAATTATTACAGAATAAACCTGATGATGGAACGTATCTATTTCCGAAACGTCGTTATTAAATATCTCAAAAACAAATTGTTTTTATTATTGGATTTACTGTTTGGAAAAGAAACAATCAATATATTGAAAAAATCCAGGACTTATCTATTGAATATATATATATATATATATATATATATATATATATATATATATATATATAATATATATGTATATATAAACATAAATTTTTTTAGTAAAACATCAAATACGAACAAATAGTCCGATGAAACAATTCAGAATATTAGAATATATACAAAAAGCTAATTAACTAATAAATATAATAATTTAATACTAATGATTAGTGAAAAATAAACATACAATATCTTTCTACATCGAATTAAAAAAAATCATTGTTCATTATTATTTCTTGGTTAAATATATTTCTTACTTGTTCAGCAGGTATGCCCGATACAAGCTATACTATTAAATGAGCACATTTTGTTTGTCATCATGCTGCCCAAGAGATACAGTAGTTGCTGTTAAAGTACTTCATCAAACCCGATATTGGTTTCAATGGCACTTTTGTAGATGGTGTGTGGTGAGTGGTGAGTGGTGCTCTCTTCAGCTAAAACAGTTTATATTTTTTTTTATTATTATTATTATGAAGTTCTTAAATTCAATTTTCTTTTACAGTGAAGGTTTCGAAATAGACAATGGAATTTAGTAAAGATGGAAAGTGTTTGAACATCATCGTGCTCTGCCAAGGGCCTAATCAGGTTAGTAATTATAAAATAGTTATGAGTATAAAAATTGACAATAAATTATAAGAAAAGAAAATACGAGTAATTTTTCATATTAATGAAAAATGATATTTTTAAATAAAATATTGTTAATATTTAGTGTCTAAATGTAACTGTATACATACAATTATTATTACAATTAAATCAAAAAATTTTTATTTCTACATTTATTTCAAAGATTTTATTTCAAACTTAAATTTATTTATTAAGTCACTGAAATGATTGGTTTTTAATATAATCATTAGAAAATGTAAAATTAATGAACAATTAATTTATTTCAGGGAAGACAAATGAATTCGAAAGTGACATTATCTACGGCAGAGCTTTAGAAGCAACATTATCTCTGCATGGCAGCAATAGTGACCATAAGGTGTGTGATGAAATAATTTACAATTAATACTATTGAAATATTTTAGTATTTGGAAAGTAAAATATAGAATTTTTTTATTATAATTTGGCATTGCATATCATAAATGAATGGAAATTGTTCAGCAACTACTAAATTTTGAATATTTGAGAGTTGAATGAATGATCAATCGTAAATTTTGTAATACTTGATGAAACAATCTTTTTGCTACTAAGTATTATTTAATCTAAATATGAACTATTGAATTAAACGCAATTTATTTTATTTTTCAGTCGTTTGCGATCACTATGCAAAGGCCAAGTGTATCAGACTTAATCGGGGATCTGTTTATTAAACTCTTTGCTGCCTGCAGCCTTTGTGTTGTCAGTGAGGATAAAAGGTAATTAATAAAATGAAATAATTGAAATATACATACAAGAGATTTATTTTTTAAATGCTTGAATATTAGTCTCAATTAAGTTTTAAGGTATTTAATTTAATGCAATAATTAAAAAATGTGAAAGAATTTGAATGCTTTTACAAAAATTTTGAGTCAATAATACTTTTTTTTATTTGTTCAAGAAATTACGATTAAATAATGTTAAATTCATAAAGAGATTTTTCATATGGTAATAAAATATACAAGTATAAAAATCTATAAACAAATTCGTAAAAGTAATACAAATTAATTGAAAGAGATCATTGTATTTAAAGTATGAAGTAAGATGTTGCATTATGGACTTGCCGACATACATATTGTGGAATATGTGCATTCTTGAAGGAAATAACAAGGATGCTCTGCAATTCCTACAGTGAATGAAACAATATGGACTTGCCGATATACATATTGTAGAACATGTGCATTCTTGAAAGAAATAACTCTACAAATCGTACGGTGAATCAAACAATGTGGACTTGTCGACATGCATATTGGGGAATATGTGCATTCCTGAAGAAAATAACGTGACAAGCAATCGTGGGCCCTAACTGAAGAGAACCATTTCAAAGAATGGAACCAATGTATTCTTACCGTAGGATTTCAAAGAGGCTGCTGCTTTTATTAAATTTGGTATGTTTAGCTCGAATATTTAAAATAATTCATGTACTCTACTCTTTAAATAACAATAGTTCAATGAATTTATTTTATTTCAGAAATAATCCTCACTCGAACAATACAATATACCTTTGGTGCATTTGGTGCAAATGGATTGGCTTGAATAACTAAACACGTCAAGACGAGAACTGTTGGAAGAAAACCAGGCAAATCAGAGGATGCATGATTTCAAATCCTAGAATTACTAGTAAATGGCTACCTAATCAAAGACTTTGAATCAAATATAGGTAAGTTATTGTTAAACTGCTTGATAATATTTAAAAATTTCATCAGTGATGAATTTATATTACAAATTTAATTTACTCGAGTATTGCAGTCAAATAATATAAATGATTTAAAAAATTTGTCGGTAATTTTTTATATAAATTTGAATAATTAATGTAATAATTTTTTTTTACAGAGAATACCGGCAATGCAAAACAAAGAATATTAGAAAAACATCATTAGCTATGAAATATGCTGCAGCTGGCTGCTACTGCAATTCTTGGTCAACTCTCAAAATAAATGGAAGGCTCTCGTGCTTCTTGATAGGTACAACAATTAAATTCAATATTTTATTCAAAATAAAACAGTATATATTTTTTTTATTATTATTATTATGAAGTTCTTAAATTCAATTTTCTTTTACAGTGAAGGTTTCGAAATAGACAATGGATGGAAGAGAAAAACCACATGAGTAGTACTACATATATGATACAAAATTTAATGCAATTTATTTTATATTCCAGTTGAAAGTGATGACAATACAGCCATGGACTTCACTGTTACGGTTTAATAGCACAATTGCAATGATGCAAATTCCTTGCAGTGAGTAATGCCTTCCAGATATACAGTTCATCCTGCGCCTCTTTTTTAACCATTGGAAAAGGTATTTCATGGAATATAATATTTCAAATGTACTATTAAATAAGTTTGGTTGTCTGTTAAGAAGTTTTGAGCAAGCACTGTTTATTTTTCAATTTAAATAAATGCCTATTATTATTCAATCAATGAAGATTATCACAGATAAAATTTGATAAACTATTGATTCGAATAATTAAAAGTAGTAATATGTATTTGAATGTAGATAATCCCTGTGAATTACTGGTTTAAATAATTGCTAAAAGTTGTATTAATTTGACTGTAGATGACACTGTGAATTACCGGTTTGAATAAATGTTAAAAGTAGTGAAATCTATTGGTACATAGGTGGCGCTAGGATATTATTGGTTCGAATAAATGCTAAAAGTTGTAATTTTTAAATGTAGATAACGCCTCTAGAATTGCTGGTTCGAATAATTGCTAAAAGTTGTAATTATTTGAGTATAGATGGCGCGTGCGATTTACTGGTTTGAATAATTGCTAAAAGTTGTAATTACCTGAAACTAGATGGCGTCTGTAAATTACCGGTTCGAATAATTGTTAAAAATTTGTAATTATTTGAATGTAGATGGCGCTTGTGATTTACAGGTTCGAATAATTGCTAAAAGTTACAATTGTGAAGCTGTCTACTAAATTCCTGGAGCCATCTGTGAACGGATATGTCTTATTGATGCTGAAAGCAAGGCCCCCTAGATTTCTAGAAGGCCTTGCCACAAATATATATATTAGTGGGTTCCCGATCAAGGCAAGTTTTACTATAGAAATATTTTGATCAATAATTGTGTTTTTATTTTTTTTTTGCCCTGACCGGGACTTGAACCCGACACAGGTTTCTTTTGTCGAATTCAAGAGCTGAGCTGCTACCCACTGAGCTAATCTCAACCGAAACAAAATATATAATATATTAGTAGGTGAACCTGGTCTGGGACCCTCGTTGCGGAAGTGTTTTACGCTGGAAAGTGATGGTGTCTATGGGTGATATATATATATATATATATATATATATATATATATATATATATATATATATATATATATATATATATATATACATATAGCATACATATAGCATACATTATACCTGCTACATATTACACTGCTGCTTTATATGACATCTGGCACTAATATATATGAGCTTTCTTGCAATACTTTGGTATATTTTGCCTATCATTGCCTATACTTTATATGTTATTCACGCCTTTAAGTATTGCGTTTTTAAATAATATGTATGCAAATATACTTTCTTTAGCTTGCATTAATAGTTATAATTGTAATATGCAACAAACAATTCTTCTACTTATCTTTGGCATTTCGTACTTAAATCCCGTAGCACATCTACGACAATTTGCAATACATTATGCATTGCTTCGTAAACCCTCCGGCACATTTACGAAATTTTCAATCGTTTTGATAATTTTTGTACTAAGTGCTCAGTCGAGTAAATTTTTTTAGTATAACTTTTTTTGTACTAAGTGCTCAGTCGAGTAAATTTTTTTAGTATAACTTTTTTTGTACTAAGTGCTCAGTCGAGTAAATTTTTTTAGTATAACTTTTTTTGTACTAAGTGCTCAGTCGAGTAAATTTTTTTAGTATAACTTTTTTTGTACTAAGTGCTCAGTCGAGTAAATTTTTTTAGTATAACTTTTTTTGTACTAAGTGCTCAGTCGAGTAAATTTTTTTAGTATAACTTTTTTTGTACTAAGTGCTCAGTCGAGTAAATTTTTTTAGTATAACTTTTTTTGTACTAAGTGCTCAGTCGAGTAAATTTTTTTAGTATAACTTTTTTTGTACTAAGTGCTCAGTCGAGTAAATTTTTTTAGTATAACTTTTTTTGTACTAAGTGCTCAGTCGAGTAAATTTTTTTAGTATAACTTTTTTTGTACTAAGTGCTCAGTCGAGTAAATTTTTTAGTATAACTTTTTTTGTACTAAGTGCTCAGTCGAGTAAATTTTTTTAGTATAACTTTTTTTGTACTAAGTGCTCAGTCGAGTAAATTTTTTTAGTATAACTTTTTTTGTACTAAGTGCTCAGTCGAGTAAATTTTTTTAGTATAACTTTTTTTGTACTAAGTGCTCAGTCGAGTAAATTTTTTAGTATAACTTTTTTTGTACTAAGTGCTCAGTCGAGTAAATTTTTTTAGTATAACTTTTTTTGTACTAAGTGCTCAGTCGAGTAAATTTTTTTAGTATAACTTTTTTTGTACTAAGTGCTCAGTCGAGTAAATTTTTTTAGTATAACTTTTTTTGTACTAAGTGCTCAGTCGAGTAAATTTTTTTAGTATAACTTTTTTTGTACTAAGTGCTCAGTCGAGTAAATTTTTTTAGTATAACTTTTTTTGTACTAAGTGCTCAGTCGAGTAAATTTTTTTAGTATAACTTTTTTTGTACTAAGTGCTCAGTCGAGTAAATTTTTTTAGTATAACTTTTTTTGTACTAAGTGCTCAGTCGAGTAAATTTTTTAGTATAACTTTTTTTGTACTAAGTGCTCAGTCGAGTAAATTTTTTTAGTATAACTTTTTTTGTACTAAGTGCTCAGTCGAGTAAATTTTTTTAGTATAACTTTTTTTGTACTAAGTGCTCAGTCGAGTAAATTTTTTTAGTATAACTTTTTTTGTACTAAGTGCTCAGTCGAGTAAATTTTTTAGTATAACTTTTTTTGTACTAAGTGCTCAGTCGAGTAAATTTTTTAGTATAACTTTTTTTGTACTAAGTGCTCAGTCGAGTAAATTTTTTTAGTATAACTTTTTTTGTACTAAGTGCTCAGTCGAGTAAATTTTTTTAGTATAACTTTTTTTGTACTAAGTGCTCAGTCGAGTAAATTTTTTTAGTATAACTTTTTTTGTACTAAGTGCTCAGTCGAGTAAATTTTTTTAGTATAACTTTTTTTGTACTAAGTGCTCAGTCGAGTAAATTTTTTTAGTATAACTTTTTTTGTACTAAGTGCTCAGTCGAGTAAATTTTTTTAGTATAACTTTTTTTGTACTAAGTGCTCAGTCGAGTAAATTTTTTTAGTATAACTTTTTTTGTACTAAGTGCTCAGTCGAGTAAATTTTTTTAGTATAACTTTTTTTGTACTAAGTGCTCAGTCGAGTAAATTTTTTAGTATAACTTTTTTTGTACTAAGTGCTCAGTCGAGTAAATTTTTTAGTATAACTTTTTTTGTACTAAGTGCTCAGTCGAGTAAATTTTTTTAGTATAACTTTTTTTGTACTAAGTGCTCAGTCGAGTAAATTTTTTTAGTATAACTTTTTTTGTACTAAGTGCTCAGTCGAGTAAATTTTTTTTAGTATAACTTTTTTTGTACTAAGTGCTCAGTCGAGTAAATTTTTTTAGTATAACTTTTTTTGTACTAAGTGCTCAGTCGAGTAAATTTTTTTAGTATAACTTTTTTTTGTACTAAGTGCTCAGTCGAGTAAATTTTTTTAGTATAACTTTTTTTTGTACTAAGTGCTCAGTCGAGTAAATTTTTTTAGTATAACTTTTTTTTGTACTAAGTGCTCAGTCGAGTAAATTTTTTTAGTATAACTTTTTTTGTACTAAGTGCTCAGTCGAGTAAATTTTTTTTAGTATAACTTTTTTTGTACTAAGTGCTCAGTCGAGTAAATTTTTTAGTATAACTTTTTTTGTACTAAGTGCTCAGTCGAGTAAATTTTTTTAGTATAACTTTTTTTGTACTAAGTGCTCAGTCGAGTAAATTTTTTTAGTATAACTTTTTTTGTACTAAGTGCTCAGTCGAGTAAATTTTTTTAGTATAACTTTTTTTGTACTAAGTGCTCAGTCGAGTAAATTTTTTTAGTATAACTTTTTTTGTACTAAGTGCTCAGTCGAGTAAATTTTTTTAGTATAACTTTTTTTGTACTAAGTGCTCAGTCGAGTAAATTTTTTTAGTATAACTTTTTTGTACTAAGTGCTCAGTCGAGTAAATTTTTTTAGTATAACTTTTTTTGTACTAAGTGCTCAGTCGAGTAAATTTTTTTAGTATAACTTTTTTTGTACTAAGTGCTCAGTCGAGTAAATTTTTTTAGTATAACTTTTTTTGTACTAAGTGCTCAGTCGAGTAAATTTTTTTAGTATAACTTTTTTTGTACTAAGTGCTCAGTCGAGTAAATTTTTTTAGTATAACTTTTTTTGTACTAAGTGCTCAGTCGAGTAAATTTTTTTAGTATAACTTTTTTTGTACTAAGTGCTCAGTCGAGTAAATTTTTTTAGTATAACTTTTTTTGTACTAAGTGCTCAGTCGAGTAAATTTTTTTAGTATAACTTTTTTTGTACTAAGTGCTCAGTCGAGTAAATTTTTTTAGTATAACTTTTTTTGTACTAAGTGCTCAGTCGAGTAAATTTTTTTAGTATAACTTTTTTTGTACTAAGTGCTCAGTCGAGTAAATTTTTTTAGTATAACTTTTTTTGTACTAAGTGCTCAGTCGAGTAAATTTTTTAGTATAACTTTTTTTGTACTAAGTGCTCAGTCGAGTAAATTTTTTAGTATAACTTTTTTGTACTAAGTGCTCAGTCGAGTAAATTTTTTTAGTATAACTTTTTTTGTACTAAGTGCTCAGTCGAGTAAATTTTTTTAGTATAACTTTTTTTGTACTAAGTGCTCAGTCGAGTAAATTTTTTTAGTATAACTTTTTTTGTACTAAGTGCTCAGTCGAGTAAATTTTTTAGTATAACTTTTTTGTACTAAGTGCTCAGTCGAGTAAATTTTTTTAGTATAACTTTTTTTGTACTAAGTGCTCAGTCGAGTAAAATTTTTTAGTATAACTTTTTTTGTACTAAGTGCTCAGTCGAGTAAATTTTTTAGTATAACTTTTTTGTACTAAGTGCTCAGTCGAGTAAATTTTTTTAGTATAACTTTTTTGTACTAAGTGCTCAGTCGAGTAAATTTTTTTAGTATAACTTTTTTGTACTAAGTGCTCAGTCGAGTAAATTTTTTTAGTATAACTTTTTTGTACTAAGTGCTCAGTCGAGTAAATTTTTTAGTATAACTTTTTTGTACTAAGTGCTCAGTCGAGTAAATTTTTTTAGTATAACTTTTTTGTACTAAGTGCTCAGTCGAGTAAATTTTTTTAGTATAACTTTTTTGTACTAAGTGCTCAGTCGAGTAAATTTTTTTAGTATAACTTTTTTGTACTAAGTGCTCAGTCGAGTAAATTTTTTTAGTATAACTTTTTTGTACTAAGTGCTCAGTCGAGTAAATTTTTTTAGTATAACTTTTTTTGTACTAAGTGCTCAGT